AAGAAAGAAAGGAACTTAAAGAACTGCAGAAGTGTGTATATATATATTTATGTAGGTGTATATGCACATATTTAAATCTCCTGATTTTGAAAGATTGAGGTTAGAAGCATTGTGTCACTGTGCTCCTCCAACGTTAGGGTTCGGTTCTAGTTAGTCACAAACTTTCAGAATCAATCCGTTAGTGTTGTAGCACTTGAGTAATTTTAGTTTTGTAAGTACGGAATCAATTATATGGAAAGACATGGCTGTAGCACTCAGAGGAGAGACCATTTAACACTACATCTTGCTGTATTTATTTTATGATTCTTTGGATAGATATGTAAAATACGTCTAAACCACAGAGAGTGCATTGGGTGATGTGGCATTTCTGAGCTCTGTTAAATAATAAGGTGTGTTTTATTCAAATCAGAATAACATTAAGCCCCGAATACTGAACAGGGCAGCAAAAAGCCTTCAGCACACAAAATAAACAAGTAAAAAACCCAAATGAAACTGTCTAATAAATACAATGTGGAGCAACAGGCTGCATGTACTAGAGGAATTAAGCCAATTTAAACCGTATGGGCAGTACTCCACTTTCAGATGTGTTCGGCGTCCAACGGTTTCAATGGCAGTTGGATGCACGCATCAAAGGGCAAAGTCTGGCTCAGAGCACCCGCGTGGATTTGATAGCATAGGTTTATGACCTTGTAATCCTAGAGCATCTAAAACAGTAAGAACTCTATCCAGCTTAAAATAGCTGCTGTAGTTGCTGTTGATACAAGCTTGTGGGCTCCCTAGCTCTGGGGCCAAATTTGGTGCTGGCATGATAGGAGGAAATCTGTTGACAGCTGATAGCAGTGGAGTTGCACTTGATTACATCATAACAAATTTGGCATGTGGAGCTGAATCAGAAGTCTGAGCAGAAGTGTCCATTCCTTATCCAGAGTTAAAACTGGGACTTTCACATTGCCAATCCACAGAGATTTGTCTGGGCCGTGTGTAACTCTGTTGCTTTTAAGGGTCTTGCTTTGGAAGTACATTCAACCCCCAGTTCCATTCAGCATGGTCACTGTAAAAAAAAACATGAAGGACTGGATTTTTTCTCATGTCCAAAAGGATAAAGTCCCTAATCATGCCATTATAAGCACAACGAGAACAAGCCCCATGGTAGCCAACGCACTGGGCTGTATCTGGGCCGCAGCAGAGGGTGAGAACAGAAAGGTGCTCTTAACTCTGATTGCTGGGGTCATCCAGTGGCCAAGTGTGCCTGATGTCAAGCAGACAGCTCTGTGGATACTGTCCTTCAGAGGAGCTGCCACAGGTCCCAGTGTGCTGGTCTGGCTCCTGGCAACTGGTGTGGTATAGGTGAACTGCTGCAGCTATGTTCCTTCCTCCCTTCCTGGGTCTTTATGCTGTAAGACTCGGAGTGGGGGTCTTACTGACACTCCAGGTCATTCCTCAAGGTATTTCAAGAAATCAGATGATTTTATTTTAATTTCAGCTGCTGCAAAAGTTGTTCCAAACCCGTGTGCTTTGTTTTTATTAAAATACTAAATTGCTGAAGTGATTTTCATGAAAATTAATTAAAACAAATTAATGAAAAGCAGCTGAAAAATTGATTTCTCTGCTGAAACTGTGGTATGCAAACTTTTAACCTCAATCACATTTTTGTGGTTCCTCTATAAACACCTAAATATACTAGTGGTTTGTCATGGAACTTTTTTGATGGAAATTCTTAGAAAGTGAGGCTATACTCTCTCCCTTTACGTACAACTTCATATAATGCATGTGTTCTTACCTGCTCCTTTTAGTAGTAGTATTAATCTGTAGTTAAATCTTTTCTCTTCAATATTGGGAAAGAAATGAAAAAGATGCTATCAGGCTCAGGGCTTCTCCATCATGTTTTCCCCTTGTAGGGGACAGGAGGGCAGGAGGAGTCTTTATTACGGGTCTAATACCAACCTTGGGCATGGGTTGTGCACTGCAGAATGCAGTGGCTGAGGAGGAGCTGTCCTCTCTGGCAAACTGGATCCATCTGGGATCTTTGGATCATCTGGTGGTGTGTTGTGTAGGTTCTGCAATATAGCTCGGGCAGGTGTGAGAGATGTATGCGATTCGGGTGAGCTGCTTGGGGGAACAAGACCACCATTTGTGTATACCTGTGTACAGCAAAGCAGGACTTAGCCCCTGCTGTACAATAAATACAACACTTGCAATGCATTCTAGAACAGATCAATGTGTTAGTTTACCATGGATATCTATTATTATTTTATTTTTATTTTATGTTCCCTTTCCATGCAAAGATATAGTGGTTTTTTGTTTGCTTTCTCTTATTTTCAGGAACTCCGATGATATGATGAAGGTCATGTTATTAAAAGTAGAATGTAATAGTTGTGCACATTGGAGGACAAAAATGGGGAGGTTCAGTGGGCCTTGTAAAGAATGCCATATAAAACATTCAGCCTTGAAAGGTCTGCCCAGTCTCCCTGGAGAAGCGTCAGCGAGCTCTGCCAGTGGGTCTCTCCCTGGGTAGAAGAGCCGAAAGCTTTCCCCACTGTCCTTCACTAGGAAAATGAGCTTCCTCCAGTGTGTCTTGCCCAAGCAGAGCATCCAGCCCTTTGGGATAGGAGAGCTCAGCAGAGCCAGTTGGCTTGAACAGATTTTATTTTCTGTGCTCCCTCTTGGGATTGATGTGAAAAAAATGTTTTCTGCCTAGGAACCTTTGTGTGGAAGTCCTACACGAACTAAACATTTCAGAACAGAAAGACCTCCACATGGAAGTTTTCTATCCACTGACGTTTTTATGCCCATAACCATTTTGAACCAAAATGGAAAAAAAAAAAAAAAAATCAAAGAGGTTAATAAAACCAACAATGATTTTCTCTAAGGAGTGCTAGCAGTTCAAAAAATTGCCATTAAGTGTAAGCAGTTCCTGAGATTGTACATGCTAGACTAAATTCATCCTTGCTATAACTCCTCAGAACTCAATGGAGTTACATGAGGGATTAATTTGGTCCATTGCTCTCAGCCATCAGTTTTACAGGATATACAACAATCCAGGGAACTATTATTGTCAACGTTATTTTATGACTCTTTAGAGCTGCTCAGTATTTGTATTTTACAGATACACAAGCAGGGTGAGTGTATGGAGTGAAGTTAGTGTTTCAGTATGGAAGGTAGAGGATCTTTCAAAGTTATTTTTGTACAATTAAAAGTAATAAGCATTCTAACAGCCATTATTGCTATGGATCTTACATAGATGCCTGAATACAGCTATGCAGACTCTTGAAATGGGCACAGGCGTTTCATCTGGCAGAGCACAAAACATTTCACAAAGCGTAGAGAATGTTTGGAAAGTTTTAAGTACTGTTATCACACCAACTGACTAATTATCACTGACTAATTATCACAGTGTTCATGTGAAACTTAGCTGTACTTATTGCACACAGGAAATTAAGGCAGAGAAGTAAAACCATTTTCCAAAAGCTAACTTATGAGGCAGTCACGGGACCAGGAACAAAACACAAGATCTCTACTGTCGCCTTCTACTTTTCTGTTTTTTCCGAACCTAAATTGTTTCTGTAATTTTCAAAATAAACTGAGGAAAGCTTCAGGTAGTAAATCTGAAATGTTAGATGGTGAATCTGCATCTGCACGTAAATCATACGTTTTAGTTCATGTCAGAAGGCGTATACAGCTACTTGAATCTTTAGGACACATGTAGGATGGTTGAATTAAGTTATTTAAGTTTAAACTCTGACTGGAACAGTTGTGCTAACAACCAGTTCTATTGAAGGTCTGTACACTGGAAAATGAGCGGTCAAAACAACATATTTACTTGTCATTCATAAGACAGCGAGCCTCTTTCCTGATTTGGTAAATCAGGTTTGCACTGATTTCTTGGTTGCAAAGCAAGATACAAACTTGTCTGATCTTCGGAGTGGGTACCCTCCCTGCACAGTGCTATGTGTTCTTCCATAGCAGTAGGATTAAGGTATTGGCTTGTTTGTATTTATTCTCTTCTGTTATGGAGGCACCTTTGGGCAGTGAAGGAAGGGTTTTGTCTTTGTAACTTACTAAAGTTTGGGTCACCCAGAGGCATGAATGAAGTTGCTCTGAACTCTACCAGGTACAGAACCTGTACAGTACAGAACTAGTGGCAGGACTGCTTTTACACTCTTCTCTGGATCTCTTTGTTCCTATGTTCTCAGAGCATGTATTAGAAGAACATTGATTTTTGCAGCATTAGGGGACTTTGGCTGAGTAAGAACTTGTCCATATTTCCCGACAACTGTGGGCATCTCCAAACTATGAGATTTTGGATTACTTCCCTATTCCTGTGTCCAAGTTCTTTCTCAAACCTGTCTGGACTCCACACTAAGGCAATACTTCTGAGGGTTCATCATCTTACACCTATGACCTGCTGCCGTGGTTTCTGCTAAAGAAAGGCCAAGAACACAGGCCAGAAGCATCCCACAGTCTGCTCCAGCTGGTCTCTGACCTGAACAACAGAAAGCGCCATGTGCTGCAACTGCACCTTAAGTCCTAAATAGTTTATCAGTATGGCAGCTCTTGTGTGGATATATAATCAGACCCAGCTCTTCTCAAGTAGCTAAACTTGAAGCATCTCCAAAGCAAGGGTGACATAGCTGAGAGCAATAATAATTTCCCTCACCTAAAAAGATTCATTAGTGTTAAAATGTCAGGACTATTAAAATGCAAGTGAGCCTTTTAAAATTTGAGGACAATGGGCCTTATCCTGGAAAAGATTTGAGGAAATTGCATTGATTCCAGTACCATTATCCATGAAAAATCTACTCGTACAAGTAAAGGTTTGTTGGCTGGGCCTACCACTTTTGTTAGCTATATTTTATTGCTGTAATTACACCTAGTGGCTTATCTAATAGAGTCATGTTCTTGTACAGAAATTAAGACAATTAATGCTACTTTTAGCAAGAGTGAAATAGTAAGTAAAATTGAATTGAAATTTGACCAAGCTCTTCTTTTTTATTTCCTAGTATCTGAATTACAGGAAGAAGGAATAAATGCCATTAACTTGCCTCTCAGTCCAATTCCATTTGAACTAGACCCTGAGGACACTATGCTAGGTAATTCACAACAATTTTACATCTCAACATAAAAGCTTGATGTAAAATAAAGTGTCATGCCTGTAATAGTTTCTAACATCTTTCTTTTAAACCTTCCAGAGGAAAATGAAGTCCGAACAATGGTTGATCCAAATTCAAGAAATGACCCAAAATTACAAGAACTAATGAAGGTAATGAAAAGCATGTAAACACTTTCAGGAAAGTGAAACTATTTTTTAATGCTATCCCTGCCTCTTTCATTTGAACACTTCAAAGCACTGTTTAGATATTAATTAAATGAAACCACATGGTGTGTACATCCCAGTGAAATGGGCAGGTCATTTGTTGCAGTATCTTTCTCTAAATATGGCACAGTGAGACTTAAGAATTTGGGTTAAAATCCTGAGTCCAGATTCTTAGTCCCATTCCACCCCCAATCTAAGATCACACTGACTTCTCTTGTAGTCTTTGTGATTCTTGGGGTTAGAACTTTAGCAGAAAGCTTTATTAGAATCAATTTCAACACCTTTTGCTTCACAATAAAATGTTAAAATACTACTAAAAGCAAAGGACGGATTTCACTCCAGAAGGCACTGCATCAATCGGGTATTTGTCTAGACGTTGTGGTGCATTGCCACGGCCACCTTTGAAGAGTTCTTCCTAAGTCCTTCCTGTTTTATTCTGATGGCACTTCAGACTGATTTGTATTTGGAGCCATTGTAGTTTTGGTATTCTTTCCGCTAAATATTTTCATCATTGTACAAAATGACATGTGTTTTAAATTGCAAATGAATAGTGTATAATACTGCCAAATTTGTGTTTCCCATATAGGTATTAATTGACTGGATTAATGATGTGTTGGTAGGAGAGAGGATTATTGTGAAAGACTTGGCTGAAGACCTGTATGATGGACAAGTATTGCAGAAATTATTTGGTAAGAAAAAATATATGTGCCTGCTGTTGGGGCACTTTGTCAGTAAGTGGATCACTTGTTCCTACTTAGGAGCCTTGGTATCATCTTACATTTATGCCACTAAGTGATATAAAAATAGCATTGTATTATGAGACCCTTGAGCAGCAGGCTGTACGCACAATCCTTATAGCTGCGGTGCAACGTGTGGTGCTCTGTAGTTGATGAGAACAGCATAAAGCCTACCTGGGGTGCTAGAGAGGGAGGGTTCTTGTTTTGGCAACAGCATTCGCTCCGGTTAAATTTATTATCTGCATATGTGCTGCACAAACTTAACGGTGTTACAAGTGGAAAGTAAGTTTGAAGGCAAGGGTATTTTCAGTACAACGGTGGATGTTTTTAATCTCTGCTGGTTCCATACTATAGTTTATTCACATCACGAAGTTCCTCTGGAAAGGTGGAATTTCTTTCTGATTTGATGTCTGGCTTTTAACGTTACTGAGGTAATGGTACCCAGTGGACTGCAAACTGAGCTTCAGCTGAGAAACAGATAGAGAAAAGAAACTGCTAATGCAGAGCTGGCATGTGCTTTTTTAGCTGTTGGCTTGGAAGCCATTTTCTTAGTTATTACAGCTCATAAAGTCTCTAGTAAATTTCTTTTCAGTATTTTAAATGAATCTCGAAACATCATGTGAGCACTTCTAATAAAGACTACACAGACTATTCCCTTCTATGAATGGTTAAGCTATTGAATATATTGTGATGGACTGGATATGCCCCAGACTGAGCAATTTGATTCTTATGGGCAGACCTCCAGTGACTTCACCCAAAACCCAAAAAATGCGTATCAGATACAGCCTGACTCTAAATATGCGTATACTGATCCAGCACTTATGGATTTCAGTGGAATCTTTTCCATTAGCCTTAATTCCTTGTGGATCAGGTCTATGCTAGCTGAAGACTTTGGTCTTGTTGTCAGACTATGCACAGACTGATTTCTGTGGAGGCACAAGAAACTCATGGACATAGCAGTCTCTTAGGCAGGATTCATAGGCTGGTAGCTCAGACTCACTCTCTTTGGCAAGATATTCAGTTGGCTTTGAGAACAAGATCAGATCTTACCAAGCTTAATATGATGTTCTGTCATAGAAGTAAATTGATAGGCGACTAAGCATTTTGTTTCTGGTGGTGTTATCAGGGAGCTTTTATTGCTAATTTTTTTTTGCTTACTATTTAATGGTAAACGCTAAGCCATGTATGTATATACCTAGCAATCTGTACTAATTATTAACAAACCAATTCATAAAGTATTTTAAAATCTACTGCAAATTTTGAGTGCAAAAAAGGGCTGTGGTGTCATAGAAAGAAATTGCCTAAAGTTTTAGTTGTTTTCATACCTCCAGAAATACTTGTTCGCATTTCTTGGGCGCATCTTCCACCTCTGTGAATATAGTGTCACTTCACTTTTTATCACAAATGGGCCAAGTAAAATTTTTAAATCTCCTGAGTATGAGGGAGAGGCTGGGAGGCTGAGACTGATGAAACAAATCTTCTTAAAGTTGGTCTCTGTTTTCTAGGTTTGATGGTCTGCTGTACAAGCCACTTGCATACAGGATACCCTTTATCCAGTAGCAAAGTAGTGGGCCTTACCTCAGAGTCTGGTGTTCCCTAAAGGGAGTTGCAGCAAGTATTTGTTAGCCAGTAGTGTGGCTTTCATTAATGCTTGGCCTTCCCCTTGGCAATAGGCAAATAAAGGGAAAATGTGAACTGTATCTTTAGGAGTTCAGAAGTGTGGGGGGAAGTGGCTCTGGAAGGAAAAGCAGATAATTTTAAAACGAGGAAGTCTAATAACTCTTGAATGTACATCTAGGTGCATGGTATGTCTTTATGTTCTTCATGGAGTTGGCAGTGGTTTTTCTTCTTTTTTTTCTTCTATTATCACTTCAGAGAAACTTGAAAGTGAGAAGCTGAATGTAGCTGAAGTTACTCAGTCTGAAATTGCTCAGAAACAGAAGCTGCAGACAGTACTTGAAAAGATCAATGAAACCCTTAAACTCCCTCCAAGAAGCATTAAGTGGAACGTTGACTGTAAGTTGTGTGTTTTCTATGCTGTTCTCATTTGTTGACAGCCAAGAGTTTATAGCTGCTATCTGGAATTCTGAAATATCCAATGATAAGGGAAGGCTGAAGCCTGGTGTTTATGGTATGAGCTGCTCTGTAGGGCACTTCCAGATGTGGTACACTCTATTCTCTTTACTGGTGCTCAACCTCCAATTTAAATAGACTGTCTTTTCAGAGTCTGTCAAAGTATGGTATTTCTGCTCTTAAGCCCATATGCATACCATCTTAGGTTTTCTGTCACTGAATTGGTTTGCTGAAACAAGCAAGTACCTGCATAAATGTAGTAGATAGGCGGAAGGAGAGTTAAGTCCTAGGACTCTGTGTAAAATTTGCAACATAGATATGAATAACATTTGTGATTGTTTAAGGCTAAATCTGAACCACTGATTTTGATTACAAAACTCTCATTAAGATTAGGACTGCACCCTTCCTGTTTTATTGTATTAAAAATGAACATAGTAATATCTAATAGAAATGCCCTCAGTGGCCCAACACAAGACATTTTAGTGCATATGCATTGCAGAACGCAGGTTATCAGCAGTTTTAGAAAATTAGGCCTCTTAATCTGTTTTAAGTTTGGTATCCAGAATCATTTCACGCTGGTGACCAGTATATAGCAGTTTCCCTGTCTCCTATACCTGTCTTGACCCAAGCTGTGTTGTATCCTGTTCCATTCACAACAAATTAGTGAGAGGGAGAGAAATAGCTCGAGGAAAGAAGAGTGAACATTAGGCATCTCTGACTTTCCCCTTTGTGTGGTCCCACTGAGTTTTCTGTCCCCATCTCTCTTCAGCCTCCCCCCAGGTTTTTTCCATTCTCTGTTATGCAGCTGGAGGCAGGGTGTTTGGAGTGGCCTGAAAATCTAAATTCAAGTTTTAATTTAATGTTTTACATGTGTTGTAGAGCTAAAGTAGAGATAGACAGCAGCAGCTGGAGCCAGCTGTAGCACACACCGGTGCTAGGCAGACAGACAACTTTTAAGTGTTCTGCTAAAGCACCTCATCCGTGACCACTGGCACCCCAGACAAATTTGACAGCGATGCTGCATTTCATATGAATGAGTATCTCCACAGCAGAGTTGACACTTGCATTGGAAGATAATGAAGAAGGATATTTTAGTGAATCTGATCCTGCTTTACCAGTGACGTAAGGTAGTAGTTATTGGTTAGTTCAAGTACAAAGAACATAAGTGCACTGTACTGTAGCTATCAAAGATCATTTAGGAATACTACTCTGGGGAAAACTATAAATGCAAAAACAAAACAGAAGAAGAAGAAAGGCAATAATAAGCATTAGAAATTACTCACTTTCGTGCCAATGGTTTGATACTTGATTAAGGATTTCCTACAGTACGGCTTTTGATATCTTGTAAGTCGTGTTAGTGTTAACTACCCGTATGAAACCTGCTGTGAAAAAACTTCAATAACAAGGACTATAACAACTTCATGAGGAATGTTTGAGTCATTGAGTTTAGTAAGTTATTGCTTAAGGCTTCTGCCAAAATAGGCTCGTTTATCATCCTGCAGACATTGTGACACTTAAAAATGAGTAAGTGCATGTTATGAGTACAAAAATATCTTTCTGATAGTCCATAAATCCTTATTGAAATAAAGGGAATAAAGGAAAGGCAAGGAGAATGCAGAGACAGCACTTAAACTGCCGTACATGAAATCTGGCTTTTGGATTAGCTTCAGATTTCCATCTACGCAAGCCTGTGGCATCCAGACATGTTGCAAAAAGTAACACTTTGGTGCTGACGCATATCACTGACTGGGCTGCATTGGTGTGACCTGTTGAGCAGGAGGAGACCAGTAAAGGAGAGGTGCCTTAAAGTGCCCCCTGGCTCTATGTGGCAAGAGGAAAAGAGTCCCATAATCCCTACATCCTAAAAAATCAAAATATGTGCCCTAGTTACTTTGCAGTTTGTAACTTGTGCTTTTAATATCTATTTCAGCTGTTCATGCTAAAAGTCTCGTAGCAATACTTCATCTTCTGGTTGCATTATCACAGTATTTTCGAGCACCAATCAGACTCCCAGATCATGTGTCCATTCAGGTTGTTGTTGTGCAGGTAAGAGAGGCGTTAAACAGCTCTTGGTAGTGTTGTGAAATTGACTGAGGGGTTTCTTGAAAAATACATCTAGAGTTTCTGTTTGGGTGGGCATGTGTGTGTCTGGCTGACAAGAAACACACGGGCATCTTCCCTTCCCTGCTGACAGTGCTTCAACCAGAAAAAGGCAGAAGTGCTTTCCCAGATTGAGCTGTGGCTCAGAATATCTTATTTTGATTGTGAAGTGGCCAGACTCTGACATTAAAAATATATGAAGCATTATTATTGTTGGAATGTGTTTGTTTATCACCCAATATGATCTCTAGAATTATTATTTTTCCCATTTTTGACGGTCTTTCACTTGTGCAGAGATTCAAATCATTCTTGGCACTGAATGATGAATTGTCACTGTTTATTACATTCGGATTCATGTTAGGTGACTAAATATTCTTTTTCAGCCTTGTGCATGCTAATTTAGTCTGATTACAGTGTTGGCTTTCTCATAAGCATGCAAAAAACCTCCATCAACTAAATCTTTTGTGTCAGTCAGTCTCCTTATTAGAGCCTCATCCATCCAAACTCTTCATGTTATTCTGTTCATGGTTTTTCTTTCAGTTGGACTTGTGCTTGCTCTATCTTATTTGGCCTCTTCCCATTTAATCTGCTTTTCTTTCTCTCCAATTAACTTTGTCTTTATTTTTCACACTGTAACTGTCTTTCTTTATGTGTTTTAACTGATGTTACCCTGAAGTATCTGGTGCAAAGAGCTATTGCTCAAGTTTTGTGTGGCTAAAAATCTGTGGGACAGATCTGAGAAAGTAACCACTCCTTTTTCCAGCATTCAAATCAGACAAGTTTTGTAATTTGGGGAGAAATCTGAAGGAGAGTATCTGGTAGATGTATCACTGATGCCTGACAATGACTCATTGACTCTCAGATTCTGCTTCGTGGGTTTCTCTACAGATGATGAAAGAGAACCCCAGCAAATCTCTACAGATGATGAAAGAGAACCCCAGCAAATCTGCACTTATGTGTCTAAGGCTTCAGAAGAACATAATTTTCAAGCACTTTCCTTTGACTATTATAAATACATTAATTACACTGGTTTATCTCAAAGTTCTACCAAAAACAGCTTAAGAAATCAGGAGTGCAGTGGTCAGGGCATCTTTGGGATGAGAAACTAAACCAGAAAAAGAACACAGTCCTAAATAAAGAACGAGATCTTGCATTCTGCTGTCACTCCATACGTCCAGACAAAATTCCTGTTGAAATCAATGAACGTAATTGTCCTCTTGTTTAATAGGCTAATGTAGTTCAAACAGCAAATCCACTGAAGTCAGTAGAGATAAACCAATTTAAAAACAATAAGTAGTGGGAGAATCTGGCTCACTGTTTTGCCTCTTAGCTACACAGCTGTAGTTCAGGCGCCAGTGAATTGCAGAGAAAGCAGTTGTACCAGCATAAAACCCAAGTAATGTTGCAGAAGATTTTGCCCTGCAGACCCAGTTCTTGGTGAAAGCCAATCAGTGGAACTCCAAGGCTATGCTGATTCCTATTAACGTAGGGTGGGGGCCAGTATTCTTACTGTAATTGTGTTTGAGACATTTTTAATTTTTATTTTATGGTGGGTGGGGTTTTTTATTTTTTAATCTGTCTTTCATGTCCTGTGGGATTGGTTCTGTATAATTCATCACGTACCCTTTGAACTCAATGAAAGTTTTAATCAACAATCAGCAGCTCCTAAAGCCTAATTTAGTGTTCAAACTTGCATGCCTCATGTTCTAAACCCTCATACATTCTGTAAAGTGAGGTCATGCCTAGGGAAACTCAACAGACTACGTGGTAGCTAGTTTTAAATTCTACTCTATGCAGTTTGATAAAGGAAATAGTAGAGAGAGAGAAAAAAAAGAACAAAACACTTTCATGAAGTCTTTAAGGAAGACTACCCTAATCCATTTCATGATTTTGTTAGGTTTAGAAACACATAAAATGTGAGGGTTGCCATGTTGGCTGGGTGTAGTTTATTGAAATAGAAACAAAGATATTTCTGAAACAAAAAATGTGCTCATGCCCAACAGGTAATTGACACAGTTCTTACGAAAGCTTGTTTCCTTTGGCTGTTTTGTACAAAAGCTGTTAGCAATGAGAGTAATATGAAATCTGGGTTATAAGCTGATCTGGGAAAAAATGTGGTAGTTGGACCTTTTGTAGTTGTTTTGTTATATTATTTTCTTTTTCTTCCATACTAATAGAATGAATAACTTTGAACAAAGCCCAGCCTTTGTTTGATCATTTCTACTGAAACAAGTGAGAGCTGGATCTTACCATCGTTTTGCCTCTATAAAACAAACTTCACAACAGGTGACATCAGTGTTAGGGTCAATTTTGAGGTGGAGAGTTTTTAAAGTGCAAAAGATGTATGGGAAGCAGCCTTCACAGAGCAGGTGCTTAGACTAGTGTTTCTAAGGTCCATTCTGATTGTTGCCATTGGGACTTTTTCACCAGTCTTTTTATAAATTAAAAGCGTAGGAAAGTATCTTGACATGTGCTGGTCAAATAAATGTCCAGCGGATGCATGTCGTATTTGGGCAGTGTGGAAATTCCATTAATGTTAGTGATCAGATGCCAGGCACAAAACTAGGGCTTGATGTCTTGTCTTTTTTTTTGTTTGGTTGGGTTTTTTTTGTCAACAATAGGATTAAGGTGCAGAATTCCTATTGATATTAATTGCAGTTTATCAAAAAGGGAAATACGTTTTATATTGGTACTGGAGTGTGTTTTAGGCTATTTTTGCATGTTTGCAGAGGAAAGGTAGAGTATTAGAAGCCTTTTTCTTCTCCCATATCACCGCACTGGGCACTAAGAAGTACAGTTGCTGTTGCTATGATGCTCAACTCTTCTAGGAGACAAGACTGATAGGGCTTTTGCTCCAGAAGGCATCATTGGCGTATCAGAGTCATCATCAGGAGGAAATAAAAGTTTCCTTTCACCCTGCAGCAAAGGGAAAAATAAACAAATATCCCAAACAGAGTGGAATTCTAACTTGAGCTAGCATGAACTAGATTCTAACTTCAAGTAAAAGTACTTATTGCTGTCTGCACAAGCTGGAAATGAAGATAGCGCTAAATGATGTAGTTTTTCTTCAGACTTTCAAGATATGTGACAGAAGATGTCTCAGCAGCTGTTCTGTGCCCCCTCTTTCAGTATGTAACACACTGGGCTCCAGTCTGTCTTTTTAATGTTCAGAGGTCCTCCCTGAATGTATTTTTAACCATGTGCAAGATATTTAGTAACAGGGCTTTAAAAAACATAATGGAAAACCCCTGAAACCATCATCTAGCTAAAAGGACAGTTCAGATTACTCCAAGTGCCAGTCTGGAGTGACCCAGAGGGTGCAATGTATGGCTTTCTTGCAGAAAGTAAGTTTGATCCATATATTTTTAGTAATGCAGTATAGAAGTAATAGGCCCAAGCCTGGCCAAATCCTCAGCACATCATACACCGAGGACTGCCTCAGGTGGGGATGTGCTATCTTCTCCAAGGCAGGGAAGAGCAGCAGCCCCAGTTCACATGCCATGAAGGACTTTTCCTAAAGGTTATTCTCTTCTTCTCTTTTCCATGTAGAAGGCAAGTCTAGGACAAGCATAAATTAATTCTTCTCATTTCCTTGTATGACAGGGAGTTGAGGAATCATGAATAATTGCCTAATGTCTTGACTTTACATGCAGTCGTCAGCATTTACCTGACTTTTCTTTCTGTATTGCAAAATTTTACTAATTCCAGTGCATAGAACTAACAGAGAGAACACAAAGAGAGGCAAAACATATGTGCGGTATTTACACCACCGCCAGATGACTGTGATCAGCATGCTGGAAACAATACCAAATTTTTAAACTACTTCATTTTCCAGCTGACTCAAATAGCAACCATTTGAGTTGGCTTCTGCCATTTTGTGTACAGCTTCTAGACGCTGGCCGCTCACCACCATGTATGAAGGGCTTCTCACATCTGAAGAACATTGGGGACAATGCATATATTAACACCAAGTTGACTAGGGTCTGGAGCAGGCTGTGAATGGATTATCCTCCATTTTGGTTTTCCATCACAAGCAAATAGAGTTCTTTGTGTGGAGAGAAGTCAGAAAACACTGAGGCAAATAAGAAAGTGTATGAACAGGAAAGAAAGAACAGATAGCCTGGGAGCAAGATTTTTGCAAAAGAGAAGCATGGGCACCGTCTGCCAAGCTGTTCATTGAAATAAAAGGTTTAATTCAACTCACCTAGACATACCTCTACTAAAATACTTGCGTATGTGTTTAGGTGTTTCAAATGTCTTGCTGAATTGGGGCCTTTAAAAGAAAAGTGAATTAAGAACAATGGAGAAAGGAAAAGAAATACTTCCTTCTACAGGTGGAGTTTCAAGTTTCTTGTTAATGTAAGAAAGAGTTTTCTGAAATACTTGCAAGGTGAAATAATATATTACTGTAAGTTTGTTTAAAAAAAGTTCTTATTTTGCAGGTTTCTTATCTAATTATGTTTGTGGATCACAAATAAATTTTTACCGTACCCTAAGCATTAAACTTTACTGAGAAAAATGTCACTTTTTTATTTTTTCCAGAAACGAGAAGGAATCCTCCAGTCTCGACAAATCCAAGAGGAAATAACTGGTAACACTGAGTATGTCAACACCACTTTTGCCAGCAGTTCAGTAATTGAACACAGATGCGTCTCAGAAATTCAAACATTTGCTGATATTTAGATTTCGGTATTGGGGTTCCAAGGAAGACGATGCATCAGCCAGTGACTGTATTTTAGCCTTTTCAAGAGCTGCAAACATGCATCTAAAAATACAAAAGGGTGAGGAAATACAGAGCTGGGGAACTAAAAGCAGCAGGCGACCAGGATAAAAGAGAAGACAGAGTGAAGATACACAAAAATCTCTTATTTTATATTTATCTACTATTAATTTATTTCTGTATTTATTATATTTCTTGTTATTTATTCAAAAGTCCTTCAAACAAACAAGAAGGATATGCCTCATTCTTTTATGTTGGTATTTATTTGATAGAGAACTAGATTCTTTCAAAAAGGAATGTGATATGACTATTTTTAGGTGTTTGGATTTTGGTGATGTACAATGATGGTAGTAAGCCCTGTACACATCATCTCACCGAACAAATTATAACAGAAAAGTTATTCCAAACCAACAGAAAGCAATAGTAGAATATCCTAGTTTCTAATAGAATGGAGAGAAGGCAGACTATTGACTTATTATTAATCTTTATGGATTTGTTTATATGTAATAGTTATATGAGGGATCAACTGGAGCAAAATGCTGCAGTCCTTAAGAACCCAGTCCAAGCATTGTTTTGGCTGGAATTGTACCACAGTTGATGTGGTAAATGCATCTTTAAAGCAAAGGGAAAAGTTTTCACAAAATTAACATGAAAAAGCCTTCTTCACTCAGGCAAGGTGTGTTGATTTGGTTCGATAGTAGGAAATCTGGGATCTGGCCTCCCATGAGATTTTAGTGAAGCCAGGAGATATTATACCAATGGACTCCAGGCTAATCCAGATTCTCAGTTGGAGTAACTTGATGAAGGTTTTCTTAATTCCATGAATCTACTCCAGTTTCACCAGGCTGAAGATCTGGCCATGTATGCTATTTTCTTTTGCAGCACAGTGTCTGCAAGTGAATTATATATAACTGTGTTTTGTTCTTTTTGTTTTGTTTTGTTTTGTTTTTTTTCATAGGGCATTATCAGGAAGGCATGGTAAGTTTGTTTGATTATCATCTTTTTCTTGATGTATACATTAGTTCTGCAGTGGGTGGTCACTTTGATCAAAAGACGAGGAAGTAGAGGATTTCAAGTTGCCCTGGCAAATACATAAACATATGCACTACAGGCTATTGTGGCAGTTAAAAGGAAAAAAGCATTAAAATCAGTCTGACCATCTTTAAGACACATTTAATTTCTTTTCAGCACGTGTTAATTTGCAGGTGCTTTGTGGTTTAACCTCTAGAACACTACTGTAATAGTATTAAAGGTCATAAGTTCCCAGCATAATATGAAATGATGTCTTATCATAAACCAGCTGGTGAACTTGTTGGCATTCTTGCATACATTACCTACTTACACTTTAATGTCTTTGAGCCTTATTCAGCAGGCCTAAACACTGTGCAAGTTCCTGTGCCTACTATGTCTTACTGCTAGTATTGAGACTGGCCAAATGCCTGGCCAACAGAAAACACTCATCTGAGGAGCTTAGGTGGAGTCCCACCAAGAATTTAGCATTTGCTTCTTGTATTATTTCAATGGCTGCCTTACAGCTGATTTAAAAGGCTACATGCATGACCTCTTTTCCCAATGATATCCCTGAGCAGTCTTACTTTGTATATAGTCTGCCTTCTACAAATGCCTTTGGATCTACTCAAGCATTTTTTTTATTGAGGAATATGAATGTAGCATTTTGTGGAGTCATTTGCTATCATTCAGGTCATTGTCGAAATGGAAATTGCTCAGAAAAGGCTCTGGTGCCTTTTTTTTTTTTTTTTCTTCTTCAGAAGGTGACTACAGTAGCACTCCAGTCACGCTACCTTAGGTTGCCTGTCCTGCTGATAACGTCCTAAATTGCATATCAGAATGGCCCAAAAACATCTATACAGAGAATTATATTGCAGCTCTTTAATCATAAGCTTGCTTGAGGTGGTTAGTAATATAGCACACCACAATGCAGTCAGTGGCCCATGGGGAAAATCTTCCTCTGTAGATGTAGCGACTCGAGATGTAAACTCATGTTCTTCTGCACACAATGATTTGGTTACTTAGCTCCCTGTATCTGGCTGTTTAAGGTTTTATGCATAAAGATACCGTTCTTTTTTGAGAAACAGGGTTATTAGGTAATCCAAATCCTACTGGAAAATTATGCTTTTTGTAAATAATAGAGAATAAGTTACTAGCAGCTTATAGCAAGAGAGCAGTGTGCAAAATACACGGTACTTGGAATATAAAGAGACTATATTGAAACCTTTTGCTGACTCTGTTGTCTTAAATGAGTGTGTGCCTTAATAAATGTTTATTCTGCATTTGAACAATTACTGCTCAGTTTATGAACGTCTCTGAATGTTTTTCAGAAAGAGATGCATTTGATACTTTATTTGACCATGCTCCAGACAAGCTCAATGTCGTGAAAAAGGTTGGAAGGTTTTTATTTTTAAAATACATAATGTGTGCATGTGTATGCTTATGTGTATCTGTTTGTACGTATTTAGTGAGTGTGTATGAATATAATATATAATTGGCATAGTTTGCATACGTTAAATACAATTAAGCTTTATGCTTAAACAAATATACAAATTCATTATTGTAATGTTACTTTTTATTAATATTTAGCAGCATGAACTTAACTTTGGAACACAGAACAACATGTAGTTATCAAAGTTTCCATCAAAAAGAAGTTCTCACAAAGTGTATGTTGAGTAGAACCCAACTGGTAGGTTGAGTGTACTCATGCCAAAGAGGTATCCAGTTTACAACTGCCAGGGGTCTGACCTAGAGTATTTTGGCTGCTGTCAGATTTGAGTGGATTCCAATTACCCACTTTCCTATAGTCTGCTACAAGGTTTTTTTTAAGAATTATTATGTTTTAACAGTGTATTTTTATTTATGTATATGATGTTCATTTTATTTCTGTTCTTCATTCTTGGAAATTTTTTTTTATGTCACATTTCAGTTTTAAAACTTAAAAATTGTGTTGCAGTCTCTATACTCATGCCAATTCTCTTCTGAGTGGAGCTCATACTGCATGTGTTGAACTGCTGCCCTACTGAATAGGCCTTCACTACATTGTTTTCATATTTCAGACTCTCATCACTTTTGTGAACAAGCATCTCAATAAATTGAATTTGGAGGTCACTGAACTGGAGACCCAGGTAGGATTTTACAGCCTTTCTTAAAGGGGAGGGATAGTTGCTCTATGTTATGCACTATGCCCGCAACTTTATCCGGAAATTGCATTTAATTATTATCGATTGAGCTCTATGATAAAAAAAAAGCAGGAACCCCTTCAATTTTAAACATGTTCGTATGAAGAAGACCCTCACCAATTAAGCAGAGAAATCATGAGGGCAGCTAAATTTCTCTCACGCAGTTTTGTACTTCCATTAGCATAAAAATTAATTAACAGATGCTACCTCTTGGGCGCTGCCGAGTGCTGTAAGCAGAACCTGTCCTTGTTTTGGTCAGGAAAGAACTCTATCTGCTTGGTTTGATCCAACGTCAAGCTGAACAGTTGTTTCCTGCCTACCTTTACACAAGCATGCAATCGCATGGGATTACAATGACTCTATTCAGTGAGATACGTTCTTGAGAGTAAAGCTGCTCAAGTGTATAGGCAGCTGTACAGTTGGGCTGCAGGCTTGATTGCACCACAGAAATAATGTGGTACATGGTCGTCTTTCTTGTTCTCAGCTGCTAAATTGGCTGGAAAGAAGCTAAAAGAAAAGCTTAATCCTGCTGTATTAATACTTCCCCATGTGAACAATTGCAGCGGTTATCATACGAAAATTACAAGGTCAGGCAGGAAGGATGGTATCCGCACTATCAAAAAAACCCCAGGTGTCTTCAGGACAGGCTTCATTTTATGTCTTGATTTACATTATTAAGAGTCTCTGGTTTATTTAAATAGCTATCAACCTGGTAGATAGAGATGTTTTTAAAGGTAAAATTAAGATTTAGATGGAAATAATGTGTAAGGGCTTTCAGAAAGATGTTCAAATGTACCTAGAAACTCCTTAAGCATTTATCCGCAACAGTATTCCCTAAGATGAGAGATTGTATTTCTATCAGTTGAAAGAAAATTATCTACCTCAGGAAGGTGATGGGTTGCTTCAGATAACTCAGTTTGGTTGTGAGCATGTCTCAGTGCACGGATAGACCTGACGCCACAGGGGTAAGAGTGAGAGGCCTTTAACAAAATCTTATGGATGTTGCAATTTTTTTTAGATAGAAATGAACATATATCATAGCAACTCGATATCTTCCATCTGTAATTACATACACTTAAAATTAGATTGACTCAGACTTGCAGAACATGGACAAAGATGATTCTTTGTTCCTTTATTTCCTCCAGTATACTGAATTTCAGTGCAGTCATGAGATTGCACCTTCATTCTGCTTTTCTCTGCTCAGGGAATGCATGCCATTTGAGAGCTTGAAAGGTGGCTGTTCTGATTCCCCACAATTAGTAGAATAGTAAGCAAAGGTGTAGATCAAAGCCACTGGCAACCTCTCTTTCCAGGAACTTTATTCTGCATGTATATTTTAGCATTAGGTCAGTTTCGGAGAAGACATAACAGAATTTACTAACTAAATAAAAGGAATCAAAGAAGTGAGATGAGTTCTTTTAGTTGCAATTTAAAATATTTCTATTAGTAGTTTGCTGACAGTTCTCCATTAGACAATATATATCTTGTTCATTAAGCAAAGCAATGAGTTATTCTTCAGAAAATGTACTGAGAAATGTCTTTTTTACAGTTTGCAGATGGTGTGTACTTAGTCCTGCTAATGGGTCTCCTCGAAGGCTATTTTGTTCCTCTGCACAGCTTTTTCTTGACTCCTGATAGTTTTGAACAAAAGGTAATTAGATTTAATTTTTCTGTTAAAAACAAATAAACATACAAACATGTCTAGTAGTACAAGGATGACACAAACTTTTCCGCATAAGCTTGATGTAAATAGCTGAAATCAAGAGAGGACTGTACTGGTAACCATTTCCAAGCATTTTTAAGATCTCAGTATTAATGCTTATCTGGAATAAAAAGGAAAATTATATTAATGACGGGGTGGTTAGAAAGTATTAACTGATTTTGGCAGCCATTGTGTGATGCTATCATTGAACCAGACTTACTGTTCATTAAGTGTATAAAGAATTATACAGATGAATTGATGACAGAACTGATTTTTTGTGTCCAAAATCCAAGAATTTAACATTTGAAAGGTTTCGTGTTTTTTGGAAGCATAAAGGCATATATGTACTGTGTATCGTTTTAAGACCAGCCATTACCCCAGTGTCTGTTGCTGTCCTGGCAATTCAGCTGTCTATTCAAGACAACAGCACTTCATGGGCCATCATATTCCAATTTTTAAACTTGCGGGAGGTGGGCTATTCTTACTTGTAAGTAATTTTTCTATGTGTAATATTACTTCACATGTTATTTTTCAATTACTTTTATATTTCTGAAACCACCATCACCACCCAGAAAAAAACAAAACAATGGATTATCTGGATTCCATGGGCCAGATCTTCCATTGATATACAGAGCCCTGACTATTATATCCTTCTGAGCATCTGGGTCTGCAGCTTTAAATACATCTTGTTTTGACCATTTATACTATACTGTATATAGTTCACGATAATGACAACCTTTATTATATTACTAGGTCCTCAATGTATCCTTTGCATTTGAGCTAATGCAAGATGGTGGATTGGAAAAACCAAAGCCAAGACCAGAAGGTATCTGTTCTACTTTTTTTGTATCTTCTTAAAAATTTGCGTTGGATCCAGATCTTACCTCATAGGATTATGGTATAGCTAAGTGAAGGTTAAAATGTTAATCCAAGAGTGAAAGGCAAGATACATTTTGAAGTGCTCAGGTAACTCTGGATTTTAAATGGCTGATAGATACACTTTCTCAAATGTTGCAAGGCTTCATTTCTTGAGTGGCCAGGGTAAGATTTGCATGACCAAACATATGCAGTAATACCCAGATACTCGCTGAAAGAAAAAGAAGGCAATTGTGAATGGTGTCACTAGCAGATATGAATTGCTTCAATTGCTCCATTTTCCCCCATCCCACATCTTCATACTAAACCTCAAGTATTCCAGTGTAATTGACAAGATTTTCACAAAAGAGGTAGATATTGTGGAAGAAGAATTTCAAATGTTCACATAACTACCTTTGAGTGCAGGGCCTAATCATGCATATTTAAATTAGATTTAGAGCTGGAGACTGAAAATAAAATGTGTCTTCAGGGAAGATGAAGGTTTTGCTGCTGACTTTAGCAGGACCAGGATTCCACTCCTCTTCACTCATATAAATACAGGGTTTAAATCCAGCTTTTTGGGCTGGATGTAGGGCCCTTGATTCACCGTGTTATAGGGTACTCTTGTGGTTCCTCCCATAAGAAGTTACCACTTCTTACCATGCAGGAGCTGGACGTGCAGCTTCTGCTCCAGTCTTCCCAACAGGGGTGGTAGCTGGGCTTCTGCTGATTACCTACCCGCATAATCAATATGTATGTGTTTTCAACACCCATTGCAGATTCACATTCTATGGTGCACACAGTCTTTTCCTGCCGTAATATTGGATTGTCATTCCCTGGGGAGTTGATATAAGCTAATGCTTAAGAGTTTTATTTCTAATAGTAAGGTCTCTCTGGAGATTCAGGCACACATCACTGAATCAAGTTCTGCTCCATTCTGCTTATTTTCCATCTCTCCTGACTTCCAGATCATAACAGCATAACAGACATACGCGCACACACAAAAAAATATGTCTCAGGATTGAGCCTACGCTGCCTTTGCATTTAATCTGGACCTACCCAGCCTATTTTTTCACTTCTTTTGATTGCTTGAACTCTTATCCACAATCATGCTTAACTAAACCAGTGGTGACTGTATCACAAACTTTTATGTCTGACATAGTCAGAGAGAAGGGGGAAATAGTGAAATCTAGGGATCCAAGTAAAACAGAGAGTATCTGTGATCCCTTACTCCCCGTGGAGGTTTAAAATTCTTATGGCATTTAATTTTTCAGGTATTTATTGCTCTAGGGGACAGCTAATTTTTCCAGTATAAATCAAGCCATAAGGATATTTCAGCATATATAAGACATTTCTTGTGCAATTATTGAAATGCTTAATATGAAACTTCCTGCCCAATGTGAATGGAAAAACACATCTGTTTTATGTGTTGTTACATTGGGCACAATGCCCGTACTTAAAATTTCCAGTGAGCGAAAGAGTATTGAAAAGGATCTTACCCTAAATGTGTACACTAAATACTCTTTAAATTCCTACACTGTTTCTTTGAGGTTCTTGAGGAAAAAATATGCTGAAAAGTGCTTTAGAATATGAAAAACATATTTAGTGGAAAAAAGAATGCGGTTAAATAAATGAGTATGAAAACCAATGATTTTTATGGGGTCAACAGTTTATTTGGATTATTTGCAATATAATTGAAAAGGTATTAAAAAGCTTCTGTGACCTTTTACTTTTAAAATGGCCAGAACATTAATCTGCTGAGTCTGTAATGAATTCATTCGCAGTTTGAGCTTTTTCAGATTACTTCTTGAAATGTGTACATCAAAGCCAAGCTCTTTTCTTTTTCTTTTTTTCTTTTTCGAAATTGCAACCAGTAAAACATTATAGATGTTGGTCAAACACATGTAGCAATGGAAATAACTCATCTTTCTCTGGGAGCATGCTTCTTTTTAGTTTGGACCTGTCTGTGGAATTCTGTTGTGGTGGTGGAGTCTTCTGGTAACTTAACTTTGACAGGTCTTTGCAATCTCTTTATTCATTTGAAGTTCTGTATCAGGAAATGAAGGTGTTACAGCTTGCTGCTGGCCTAAAAGAGGAAACTTCCCAAGTTATGCTCTGCAATACTGTTTGCATATAACGTGATGTTGTGGGAGCAATGTGCCCTTCATGTAGCTTTTGGCATTTTCTCTTCATTTCATACCGAGCATTTTTGATCTGATTTATTAAAAGCCACAAAACCATGTGGCCACATGACCATACATAATCTCAGCATAAAATCTAGGTTTGATTGTTTTTACCCTTTGTCCATGGATGTCAGTTTGCCATGTAGCTAATATCTTTAGCCCTTCAAAGTTTGCATACTTTGGGACACTGTGCATAGGTTTGATTGGATTCATTCTTCAAAGTATAAACCCTTCACAATCTGTGAGAAACATCACCGTAGATAAATATAATGGCAAAAATATCTGATGATTACGTACACAATTTACTAGGCTTACCTGGAGGTTTTGAAGATAATGGGAGTATGCATACCACCTGCTTTACATCTTCATGGCCAATTCCAAGAATCAAAGTTAGGGGATTGAGTTCCTATACAGTCAACAGAAAGACATAGGACTATTCTAATTCTGTTCTAATTCTGTTCTATTCTATTTCTTTTCTATTCTTTCTGAGGGCAATTCTGAGTCTCTGTTTGAGATTGAATATTCCTTGAAGCAGTAGCGTAGACTGCTGCAGTAGTACTTGTCAGTTTGTTTTATAGATTTCTTGTGAAATAATATTGACTTTCTCAACAACTTCTCTTGGAAACAGCAGGTATTCGTTAGTTTTTTGTTTCCTATAAATCCTTTACTTTAGATGTTGAGTTTCTAAGTACTGATTCAGCCATGTACATCAGCTAACCCAAAGCATTTTCAGAAGTGTCTTCTAGGGGCACTTGTATACCTAGCTTCTTTAGATCCTTTAGAAAATTTAAACTTGCCTCTAGCTATCTCGCAGAAATTAAGCCTAATAAAGGATGTTGCAGCCCAGAATGGGCCAAGTCCTGCAATTCTTACATAAGAGAAGAGTTCCATTGGTTCCTGTCTGATGATTTTTTCAAAATCATTACTTTTCAACCACAACTGACTGAAGATCCACTCATATAAATATACATAATCCTAGGCACAGTTTGTCTCATGGGCATCTAAACCTTGGTTGCATTTCTTCATCAGCACCGTTAGCCATTTGTATCCCTAACTAAAAGTGGTTGAAATAACGATTTTTGAGTTGCCACTTTTAAAACTGTGCTTTATTTATATTTCTACTCTTTCTTACTATCTTTGTGATTTGAATGTTGATGGATATGGATCTGAACAAGGAACGGGAGTAGGGAATAGGCACTTCTTCTGAAAATGTTTTGAGCTAATGAAGTTACTAATGGTTTTTTCCCTTGTCTTTTTTTCTAGATATTGTAAATTGTGACTTGAAGTCTACACTGAGAGTACTGTACAATTTGTTTACTAAATACAGGAACGTGGAGTGAAGAATTGATTTGGGATGCAAAGGAGTGTTAACAAAGAAAGCATCATAACTAGGATATTTTTCGTCGGTATTCCTCTGCATCTTTATCCTAAAAGGAACTAAACCATTTCTCTGAAGAATTTTTAATTGATTATTCTTGCACTACTATTTTCATAGTAGATTTAAGACTAATATAAATTATGAAGAAAAAGGTTTGGAGGAAGGTATTTGGGTATATTCTGGGAGAATTAATGTCTCAATAATACATCTTCACACTGTTTTGTAGTAGGTGAAGCAAGAATGAAAAAAAGATGTACTAACTTTAATTCAAATCAGCCTTTGAAGCCAATCATAGGAAGACTCAGCACTGAGTATTTTAATATTTTTTACATATATCTTTTCTAATCTGGGGATTTTCTATCCATGATAAAATGATTGCATTCTAATTATGAGAAATGTGCATGGGAAGAAACAGTTAAATACTCTTGTTCACGTCACAGCTAAAAAGAAGAGACTTTCTCAAGCACTTAACCCGATTAATTTATATTTCCAGTGCTGTTAGGCTTGAATCTTATGGGTACAAACTGAAGCGGCTACTCATTCCTTCAGACTTATTATAATGTGATACTCTGCTTTAAATATGTGTTACTGAGCATTCCGCATACGCACACTTTGCAGCTTGTCACTTGGTTTTGTTCAAGGTAGAGATCTTTTTTTCAAAGTACACATTTCAGGAAAACACACCTGTAAAATACAGTTTCCCTATAATATTTGTATTACATAGTATTAGAAAGTAAAAGAACAGCTTGTTTTTCTTTTAGTAGTTTAAACACAGGTTTACTAGGTTGCAAGTATAGATTTATTGCTAAATAGGATTTAGAATCTGTCCCTTTGGTTGATTTTATGATGAATGTATTTTGCTGCATAATGTCCAACACAAAAAATAAGATTTATTTTCCAGAAACATTCCTGTAGCCTTTCAGATACAAAAGCACTGCTTTTAGGTCAAAACTACTCCCATCTGTAAAGACTCCGTTACAGCGTAAGGTTTGTTGGTCATTTTACATAGCTATAAAGAGTACTTTTTTCTAATCATAACCAAGTATAAGCTGTTATCTGTTTGGTTTTAGCTTTAACAAAGACAGAAAAGAGAAATGGGAGTTGATTCTTCCCTTAAACTTGATATCAAGCACCAGTTATGTTTCCATAAAGAAGCTGATAGAGACTGCCTGACACGAGTGTTAATCATCAAAAACTGCACTGGCATAAGCTGAAGAGTAAATTAATCATTTGCTGGAAGTATTGATGTTAGTATTAGATACCTTTCCAAAAGAAGTGTTCCAATGCAACCACAGATTCTTGGGATCCTGGGTTACACAGTAAGGAAAAAAATCCTTAGGCAGAAATTACTGGACGACTGTTTAGAAATCTTTGGACTGCTTGGTGCAGGAAGGAGACTTGTTAATAGTCATCCAATTATGGCAGAAGTGGTATAGGTGAAAGGGAAAGCAATCTGTCAGCTCTTGAGTCTGTTCATCTGAAGAAATGCAGTGCTGGCAAGAACGGTCAATAACAGCTATATGTTACTTAGAATATAAAGCATTACATATTTTTCATTTTCCAGGGCTTTTTTTTTAATGTAGAGTTTTCCAGTGCAACATTAGCATAAAGGGAAGACAAGCAATTACATCTGTCTTTGACGAACACTAACTGATGTTTAATAACAAAATGATACTGACTTCTGCTGGGGGGCCACAGAAATTATTATTCTGAGAAGTAAATACCAACTTTTGCAAAGGAAAGTCAATATTTAATTCAAAGGATGATACCTGGATGTTCTCTGAACTCAGAAATTGTTACCTGATTGTTATAAGCATTCTAAATATCTTTATTAAAACATTTTTTTACCTCTGTATTTTTAACTAAGTTTCTGAAATTAGAGGTGCAGAAAATAACAATTATTTGCCTTTTACACAGGTAAATAACTGGACATTTTGACTTCAGTGAAAATGAACATGTTTTCATTATATCTTTAATATCTGAGGAGCTAAATGATAGGAATTAACAAAGCATTTTTTGGGCAAACTGAGACAGAAGTTCTCATGTATATACCAGCAGCAATTTCAGCTTATTTTAATGTTTCACATGTAAGTTTTTCCTTTGCACACCTAGACTGTAGTAATTGTAATTGTTAATTAGTAAATGTATGATGGTTTTTCTGCAGATCATGCTCAGCTGAAATGCTCTTTTACATCTCAGCAATGCCAAAACATTTTGATTGCCCTTGTTTTCAGGAGTGCACTTTCTTTAACGAGGAGATTTATATATGTAAAGGAAAAAGGTTAGGAACGGTGAAACCGGGTTTTGCCTAGACTTGAAAATAAGTATTCCTGTGCTATATTGGTATGACATTATTGGAGATTTTTAATTCTGTCAGACTCCATTTTCCATCCGTAAAAAACATAAAACTGAGACAGAATGTTGAAATCCTCATGCTGAAATGCAATTATGCAGAACCATAGAAACATTTAAACAGTATCCAACCTTTACACGATTATCTATCCTATGGTAAGAATTTATGTAAATTAAAATCTGCTATATAAACAAGAGTGTCCTATGTAAATATAGACCCATGTGATAGTTTTAACACATTCACACAAATAGTATATGCTGCCATGTAGGAGTGGGTCACTGCTTATATTTTTGACAGTGTAGATTTAAATAGCTATCAAATAAATATGAAATCTAATATACAGATTATATCTAATATTTATTGCTTTGATACAGAATATTATAGAAATATAGAATACTACTGTAGACAGTTTGTTCTTCAGCAATCAGCGTAGGCCAGCACCTTCCTTCAGGGAAGTGAAATGTTAAGTTAGCTGGGCCAAATTCTGCTGACACCTATGATGCTTTTATTCTTGATACACAGCGGCGTATATTGATGTACAGCTGAATGCAGAATTTTCCTCACTGTTTATATTAAGATAGAAGTTGTTTAAGTTTTAGGTCAATCCTGGTTTTATTTATAATTACTTTAAGTGATTAAATAGATCCAAGTCAATGGATTTAGCCCATGTAAGATATGAACAGTCACCTGGAGAGGCCAGTTTCTCTACTGGTCCCAGAGGGAGCTTCTGATCTCGAGGCTGCTATCTCAGTGCTTTGGCTATGTTTCTAAAGCCAGGTTGTATGAATCTAGTGGTGGTAGTATGAATCATGGTGGTATTTGGATCTCATCCACCAGACCAATGTGCTTGTCTGTTGTGCTCTGTCACATGAAGGCCCACAGGTAGCCGAGTCCACCGAAAACTGGCAGATTACTAGCCTGCCTTGAGTAACAAACAAACAGTAAACATTTCTGCTGCTGGAGCATTATGAAACTGCCAAAAGATCAGTTTTATGTGTTTCTCTGACTTCTAATCCATCCATTGCATCCAGCAATATGGTATTCAGATTTGTTCTGTGGTTGGAGGTAGGCATCCTTTCCCTATTGATGGATCCTGGCATGCTCTGTCAACCACACAAAACTTGTTATTTTTTTCAAAAAGGAGCTACAGATTCTTAATAGTATGTCAAAAAGATGTTGTCAAAATAATTATCTAAAATCCTAATACCTTGAGGTCAGCTCCTTTCAGCTTTCTTTCCCAGCTGACTGGCATTTAGTTGCCATAAAGAACAGGCCCTAGAAAAAAGGTATTGAAGGAATCCTTGCGTAATTTTACATGAGACACACGCATGAAGTCCAGAATCGGATTGCTCTATATTTCCGATGGAGTACAGATACACCAAGTTTCTTATTAAATGAGCTGACTGTGGCATATCTAGTTCTTTGCATTTCTTAGTCAGTAGGTATCTTCCTGTTATAGGGGGGCAGCAACGCTTGCAGCTACATAGTTCAGGAATTCAAGTGGACCAGCGAGTGCTGGATAAGGTCCTAATCTACTTTGATTGACTGTGGACCAAGTTGCTGATTGGCATATCTCCATCTAAACCAGTGGCATTAAATCAACAGAGCATTTGGTCCTTTCTGTTTTACAGAGGGTTACAGTACTCGGGAATGGTTTACATTCAGGCAGACTATATTGATCGAGGTAAATGCTACTTGGTTGACCTTTGTTCTTACCTATTTTCGTAAAGTATGTTTTTAAATTCATGTTTCAATTTAGCAGACACCTTCCTGCAAGCCACAGTGTTGTAAAGCAGAATGGCTTTTAAAAGTAATGGGTTTTATTTCATTAGAGAAAGATATATATGATATTTAATATACTAGATATTACCTTTAGGTCTAGTTCTTGTTATTCTTGTCTTCCTGTCAAAACAGCCTTCATGAATGGCCTGTGTATGTGCCAAGCACCCAGAGAGAGAACAGTGTCTTGAAGACCTCTTGCAAGATTTTCTACACTGTTCCCTGATAGACTTTTGTTGTTTCACTATAAGAATTTGTGAGGGTTTTCTCTTTACAGCTGAAGTAAAATTAAGGGCTGAAGAAATCCTTTGTAGAAAGTTATAACTAGTTTAAAGTAAGATATTTTGTTTTGATGTATCGCATGAAAAATGGAGGTAGCAGCACCAAAATTCCAAAATTATGCATACCTCAGCAACCACAGATTTTCCAAAGAGGTTTTGAGACATTTAACATTTACTAGGGCTAATTGTATGTGTTTTGACAATATTTTCTGTGTGACTGTTTCTTTTTGCAATAATGAGATTTTCTTTTCTGGCTAACAGTTTAATACTACACACTCTGCAACAATGTTAGTGTCATTGAAATATTTGGTTCTCAATTTCAACATCAAACTAATTGAGAAAAAAGAATATTTGCAAAATTTGCTTCTTAACGTGTATCTGAAAATAATGATTAGTTTAAATTAAGCTGCATTGCCTTCAATTGCAGAGTTAGTAGCTTTCACAGAATATATTTTATGTACTCTGTAAGTAAGAGACACTCTATTGCTGATTTTTTCCTGTGCTTTTTCTGAAACCTTTGTTATGATCCACAATAAAATTTGCACCTGAAAATAAACACTCTATGTTGTTATTGGGTCAAAGTATGAATGTATGACAAAAAATTAGGATGGCTGTACGGTTTATGTTCTTGGAGCTTCCAGACCTTTCTATGCAGCTAACCCATTCTCAGTTACCTTTGTGGGTGTACTCGGTGTTTATTATTATTTTTTGTGGGGGCTGGTGACAGCTGAAAGTGGGTTGGCAAAAACAGCCATGTAAACACATGCTTGAAATGATTAACAGCAGCAGGTCAGGAAAATGCCATATTTGATTCAAAATAGCAAAGTATGCCTTTGCTCTAATATTGCTGTGCTGAACACTTTAGTGGTGATATTGCAGCTGGGTATAAAGCAATTTTCTGCAGAGTAATGTTTTTAATTTGAAATTTAACCAAATGTTAGTGAAATGTTAAAATGATCGACATCAAACTGTCCGTTTCAGAAAATAACTGCATTTAGGAAGATTCTGAGATCTGTTTTTTTATAAACTTGGTTTTGTTGTGACCCTTTAATGCAGGAGCTTCAATGCAAAACTTGGAACCAGTCAAAAATATAGGCATCTAAAGTGCTACAGATCAACACTTTTAGCCACTGAATTACTGGAATGAATCCAGAAGCAGGTGTTTGATCTTTAGGTCTGCTTGTAAAACTGAAACCACCAAGCAGAGCTGCCTAATCAACAGGGAATGCTAAGGACAGGGTGAGTTTTAATGCCATTCTTCAATCCCAGACCTATTACTGAGGGCTGGAAAGTAGTATCTCTGTCTGCTTAGGATCCATGGTCTTAAGCCCCACCATATGCACTTATGGCTTTTATCCTGAATTTTATGGATTTTGTCCTGAAAAAAAAAGTGGACTTGCTCTTCTTCAAACATTGCAGTACAACGAAAAGGTCACGGTCTGGCTACCTCAATTTCTTCATCGCTACTCACCCAGAAAGTAAAAGATCTGGTTTTAATGCCCTTCTGCACCCGCAGGAGTTACTTCTCCTCCTTAGAAGAGTGTTGTAACCTGCAATATGAATTTAAGGTGATACGCTTTTTTTAGCATGTTGTTGGAGGGGCACTGTCAATTCATAAGCTGAAGTTGCAACTCTGTGTATGAAGTAATTCCATGTTAACTGACGGAGAGAGAAAGAGAGCAGAAGAGGGAGCATAACTGGTGGTTAGGTTGTCGAAAAGGTGGAAAAGGATTTGGGGGACAAACCTGTCTTCTGGGCCTCCTGTAAGGCCTACTTCTGTATTTTAGTTAATCAAAGGGTGCTAAAATACCAAAACACATTTTGAAGAGGAACCAGGACTAACATCACCTCTGTTTTCAATGCAAAGTTCC